ACCTAATTATCCTTTGTACTTCTATGATAACAGATATAAGTACTCCTTTTTCATATTTGATCTTATTTGAGTATCTTCTTTTTTCCTTAGTCTTGCTAGAGGCCTGTCAAATTTGTTTTCAGGAAACAAGCTCTTAGTTTTATTTAACTTTTCTTGATGAGTTTCTAGATTATCTTTCGTTTATTGTTGCCCTAATATCTTGTATTTCCTTCCCTTTAACTTTGGGCTCGGTTTGTTTTATTTTCTGATTCCTTGAGGTATGTTGTTAATTTGGTTATTTGATATCTTTGATGAAGGCATTTATTACTATAAATTTTTTTGAATTACTGCATCTCATGAATTTTATATGTTGTATTGCATTTTCATTTGTTTCAAGGTACTTTTAAATTTCTCTTAATTTCTTCATTTATCCATTACCTGTTCAGGAACATTATTTGTTTAATTTCCACGTATTTATAAATTTTCCAAAATGCCTCCCATTGCTAATTTCTATTTTTGTAAAGTTTTAGTTGGAAAAAAAATTTGTTGGGTCCAGTGCAAAGGCTCAGTGGCTAAATCCTCACCTTGCATGCACCCAGATCTCATTTGGAAACCAGTTTCTGTCCTGGCTGCTCCATTTTCTACCCAGCTCCCTGCTTGTGGCATGGGAAAGCAGTCGAGGACAGCCCAAAGCCTTGGCACCCTGCACCCACATGGGAGACGTAGAAGAGGCTCCTGGCTCCTGGCTTTAGTTTGGCTCATCTCCAGCCATTGTGGCCACTTGGGAGCAAATCAGCAGATGGAAGATCTTTCTCTCTTTCTCTGTATAAATCTGGTCTGCCATTCCAATAAAAATATCTCTGTTTTAAAAAAAGAGATACTAATTATGATTTAAGTCATCTTAAATTTAATAAGGCTTTGTGGCCTAACACATGATTCAATCTGTGAAATGTTTCGTGTGTGTGAGAAGAATTTTGGATGACATGTTGTGTATATTCTTTGGTCCGTTTGATTTACAGTTTCGTTTAGGTTCGGTGTTTCCTGACTGTTTTCTCTCTGGGTAATCTGTCCTTTGCTTGAAAGCAGGATGTTGAGGTTGCCTGGTGCTATTGTAGCTTGCACTATAACCTCCCTCTCTCTCCTTTCGTATCTTTGTAGTTGCTTTAGTTAAGTGTTCTGATGTTAGATGCATACACATTTGTGGTTGTTGTTGCTTCTTAACAAATTGTGTAATGACCTTGTTAGACTCATTTTTGAAGCTTTTGACTTAAAAGCTACAAGAGTACTTCAAAAATTTATGGAAAAATAGTATTGAAAGGGAAATTTAACTTGGTACAAACTGTCAGTTTGTACAACGATTTATCAGAAAGTCCTTGGATTGGCTCAACTGTGATAAAGGTAGTCAAGCTGACATCTGCAGTGCCAGCAGCCTGCACGGGATGCTACACTTCTAATCTAGACTCTACTGATGTGCCTGGGAAACAGCATGCTTGGCTCCCTTCTCCCCATGTGAGAGACACAGATGAAGTTCCTGGCTTCAGTTTGGCCCTTCTATTTGGATAGTGAAGTAATGGGAGATTTCTCTGTCTTTGTCTCTCTTCTATTCCCCCTACCCCCATTTAACTCTAGCTTTCAAATATTTAAAAAAATATAAAGTCCATGGAAATTATATGTTATGAAATAACTGCATAGAATGAAAAAAATATTTTGCAACAAAACAAGCTCCATTTTTTCATTACCTTTTTGGAGTACTATTGCATTTTATGTAATAACTATAGCTACTCTTGGTTTCCATTTGCATGAAATACCTTTTTGTGCCTTCATTTTCAGTTTGTGTATTTCTTACTGGCAAAGTGAGTTTCTTATAGGCAACATTTAGTTGAATTTGTTTTTTTATCCATTCAATTACCATGTCTTTCTACTAGATAATTCAACCCATTTCCGCTAGGTAATTACTAATGGTCAAGGACTTACTACTGTTCATTGCTTTCAGGTTGAGTTTGTGTTTGTTTTAAAAATATATTTATTTGAAAGAGTTTTAGAGAGAGGGTGAGAGAAAAAGAGATCTTCCCTCCATTACTACTCTCCAGATGTTGGCAACTGCTGGAGCTGGGCCTGTCTGAAGCCAGCCAGAAACTTTCAGTCTCCCACATGGGTGCAGAGGCCCAGAATGTGGACCGTCGTCCTATTCTTTCCCAGATACATTAGCAGGGAGCTCAGTCTGAAGTGAAACAGACAAGATTTGAAGCAGTGTCCATATAGGCTGTACATAGCAGTGCCACATTTACCTGCTATGCCACAACACTGGACCCTGTTTCTGGTAGTTTTATACATCTTGTTCCTTGCTGTTTCTCTTTCGCTGTGTTCCTTTATGAGAAGATCTTTTTCTTTATTGGTTCATTTTGATCCCTTAAATTTTATCTTTACGTATCTGCTGTAGGCTTTTGCTTTGTGGTTATACTAAGGCTTATTATGTAAAGCATCTCTTAGTTTTTGTATGTGCTCAAAGTTAAGTTGTGATCAGTTTAAATTAGCTAGTTTTGAGATGGGTTTCTTTTTCTACATTTGTTTTTCAGTGTCAGTTTGCATCTTTATTATTGTTTTTTTCTGGAAGGTGAGAGAGAAACAGACTTCTTCAATCCACTGAGTCATTCCCCAGATGCCCTTAACAACCAGTTCTGGGTTGTGCCCTAACCTGGAGCTAGGAACTCAGCCTTTCGTGTGGGTATTAGGGACATCCAAAGTGGTATCTTAGCCACTGCACTCAGTACCTGTCCCTGTTGTATGGCTATTACTTTTAGTATTTTAACATTCATACTAAATGTATATGATATTTATGCCACTGTTAGAATATTCTAAATGTGACTGGTGCTTTCACCAGTGAATTTTTGTGTTGCTTGTTTGCATCTTTTCCTTTCAGCTTTGAAAAACTCCTTTTTCCATTCTTTTTTTTTTTTTTTTTTTAATCTTAGGTTTATTCCAGCAGGGGCAGGAAAAAGGGAAGAGGGAAGGGAGGCCAGAGGAGGAGAGAGGGAAAGAACAAAGAAGCCTTTTTCATTTTTATACCAATAGATCTAGTGATAATGAACTCACTTAACTTTTGTTTGTCTATGAAAGTCTTGAATTTGAAGGATAACTCTTCTGGGTACAGTATCCCACATTTGGCTTAAACTTTTTACTCAGTAACCTGTTAGCCTAGTTGGAACTCCATTTACTGCTTACATAGGAGCCTGCCTTTGTCTTTGATTTTTGACACTTTGTTTATAATATTTCTTGGTAGAAGGTTACTGGGATTGAATATGATGGGAGACTTTTGATCTTCCTTTATCTGGATTTTTTCCACCCAGAGTTAAAATATATCTGCTACTATTTAAATAAACTTTATCTCATTGTCTTTCCTTCTTGAATTTCTGTGAATCAAAATATTTTATATTTTTTGTTCTTAAGTTCTATAAACTTTCTTTATTCTTTTTTCCTGTTTTTCTCCTCCAGTTGTATATTGTTCAGTAACCTATCTTTGAAGTCATTGCTTTTATCTCCTAAGCATTTTTGATATGATGTTGTCTCTTGCAATTTTTCATTTCAGTCATTGTATTTTTCAGCTCCCAAATTTGTTTGATTTTTTTTTAAAGTAGTGATTTCTTTCTCTTGGTTAAATGTCTTGTTTCAGTCATTCTTTTCCTGATTTTTGTTATTCTGTATAGTTTCTTGGTGTTTGTTGAGTTACCTTGAAGCAATTATTTTGAACTCCTTCTTAGGTGCGTCATGAGTCTCCATTTAGAGTTAGTCCCTGATACTTTATTGTGTTCTTTTGGTGCAGTCATTTTTCTCTGATTATTGTTGATCAGACCACAGGGACTGGCCTAGAATTCGACAAGCCTGGAGCTTGTCGAGTCCAGGATTGCTGACTTGGTGCATGAGCTCTGGGGTACTGATCTGGTGCTAGGACAGGCATAAAACTTTGTGGGCCAGCTTGCTCTGACTCATCTGCAGCCTAGGGATACGTGGCCTAAATTGACACTGGGTAGGGCTGGAACCTCTATCCACAACTACCATATATAGGCTGGGTCTGCATCTACAGGTCTGATGACTAAGGATGGTGGTGGGAAACCTGATGATAGCATGGACCTTAAGTTGTGTCTATTGGGGCTGATCCAGATCCTAAGGCTGCTAAGGTTGGCTTGGCTGTGGGACAGGTCCAGACACTGAGTCCCTTGGACAGCCCTGGAATTCAGTGCTACAGGAACTACCTTGGCACGCCCTGAGTAAATCTACTGGTGTTGTCCTGGTTTCACTAGAATAGGCTCAGCACAAGACAAAGTCTGGTACTTATTTCTCTCTTCTTCTGCCAAATCAAGAGTGTGTCTCCACATTGTGCTGCCTGTAATTGGGAAAGATGTGACATGGATAATGTACTGTTATCAGTGCATCTTACCTGTCTGTGTTCTGCCTCTGTGCTGTAATCTCTCACCTGGTTCAGTTGTCTTCTGTAAAGATATTTCTGCATTTGGATAGTTGCTTGATCTAGGGATGGGCAGGGGGTTGCGAGCCCTGAAGAGTTGTGTTCTACAATCTTGGTGATACTCTCCTCAAAGGCTTTTCTTGATACTTTTCCTTATTTGCCTACTACACATGATTTTTTTTCCATCAAAACTTTGATCACATAGTGTTGAAGTTTTATGCTTAATTGTTGTCTTTCCAAACAAACTAAAAACTCTGAGGGCAGAGACATCCAGACCATTTTAGAACATTCTAGGGGTTTTATGATCATTGTTGAATAAACTGTGTGGAGACTGGGCCTTGGATCTGTGTTTAGTAATCTGTCCCATGCTTCTGAGCTGATGAGTTTCAGAGCCTGCTGTCCTACCCTGTCTTTTCTACTCCTGTAGCTCATGTTATTTGCCATGTTGTCACTCACATGTACAGAAGCAAATCAGTACTCAAATCTGCTTCCAGATTCAGGTCTCCACCTTTTGAATCCTTCCTGGTTTTGAGACTGTTCTTTTTCTGATTTCTTCCAGTGTGGTGCAGGTTTTGCTTGCTGCAGGAGCTGACCCAAACCTTGGGGATGATTTCAGCAGTGTTTACAAGACCGCTAAGGAGCAGGGAATCCATTCTTTGGAAGGTAAGCTAGGCCACCCTGTTGCTCTGAATGTTTTTCCTCTGTCACTGTCTCCAGTAGTCATAGCCTGGAAATCCTGTATTTCTGGCTTAAAACTATCTACTATGCCATTTCGAGAGTCTTGGGAGATGAAATAGAGGCCTGATAAAGTGAGGCCTTTCTTTCTATCTATATCTCACCCTACCTCTCTCTCGCCCTCTGTCTCTTTCTGTCTCCCTCTCTTTCCCTCTCTCTCCCTCTCGCTCCCTCTCTTTCCCTCTCTCACTGCAAAAGCACCTTCTATCAGTGGATGGAGTAGTTGAGTGGGTTTCAGTAAGATAATTGAGGAAACTGCATAGAATGTGGATTTGTTCCTTTTCTGTTTCCTACATACTTAACCATGCCCTCGATCTAGAAAAAAACCCCAGTGGTTTCCTCAGCCTTATAAAACTTGCTCACTGTTCTGAATAATGCCTTTGTCCCCTCCTAGATACAAAATAGATTTCTGTCCCTGTAACTGGCCCCTCAACTTACTGTAAAGTTCAGAACAAATAGTGTTGTTTCTCTGTGTTTGTAAAATAGGGGTCAACATCAGTACCCCCTCTTGGATGTTGTGTTGGGTAGAGTTTGGACTTCAGAAGAGTAGTGGCATCTGTCCGGTGGTTTGGTCACTGTCTGCTGAAGGGTATTTGAGCAGGCACTTGCTCCTTTTAATGAGCGGTTTTTCCACAGTGGTCTTGAGACATGAGCATGGTGCTTTGCTGCATGCAGAGTGAGTATTCCGTGTTTGACCTTTCACTGTCTCTACCATCAGTCCACAGTCCTGGACCACTCATAGAGGCAGAGATTCCTTTGAGGTTTCCAGCCACAGGGCAGCTAAGCAATGGCTGCTTTAGAGTTGACAGTAATGCCAGGAAGACTTACACAGCACTACTGATTTTAGTGGGACAGAATACTGACTCTGGAGTTTACTAAGCTGCAGGCAGTTGTACAGTTAGTCCTGGGAGCTGTGAGAAGGGCTGCTAGGCCACCATGGATATGTGTTAGCCCAGAGTAGTGGTGTTGTTGCTGTCCAAGGGAGGAAGTTTCTCAACTCAAGTTTCTCAGTGCATCCAGGAACTGCTGCCCAAGGGATGTGTCAGGCTGCCCTCCATCTGCCTCTCCACCTCTCTGCATACTTGAGGTGAGGAATCTGTCAAGACTCCATTGCTCAGGCCACATCCACCACAGATGCTTCACTATCTTTGACAATAATTGCAGCCTGCCCTTAGCTGCCCTTTGAAATGTTCTCTAAATCTTGGCCTCTGCTGGGGTTATTTGAATTGTCATCTGCCCTTGTCTTCCCTGTCCTCTTCAGCAGAATATTCCCTGTGCAGACCATGACCTATACCCTTGGTATTCCCCTGAGCTGAAGGAATCATATTCACTTGATGTTTATGGGGAGAACCCTAAGACTATCAGGTTTGCCCTCTATTTGTAGCCTGTTCTGTGGGGACTCAGCTTATGTGCTGTTTTCACCTCACTCAAGCACAGCATCACCACTCTTCATTCTGCCTTGTGTTTAGGTGCTATCACCAAAAAATAAGATGCATTTGCTGAAAAGGCAGGGCCAGGGAAGAAGAGGATCCCCTGAATGCTGTCTCACTTGCTCTCACAATCACCCTCAGAACTCGGCACATGTTTTCATTTCACACAGTCTTAGCACTCTGAAGCCATCTAGCCCAATTCTGCTGCCATACTGATCTCAGCCACTTGCATTCAAGTTTGTAGCTTTGTCTTCTAACAATTCTTTATAAGTTACTCATATTCAACATCCTAGGTTGGTAGTCAGCAAAGTCTTTCTAGAAAGAGTCTAAAAGTAAGCATTTTAAGCTTTGTAGGCCATTCAGTCTGTTGTGACTACTCAGCTCAACCATTGCACTACAGAAGCAACTATAGACAGTATCCTAATGAATGGGCATGAATATGCTTCAATAAAGCTTTTTTTTTTTAATTAAAAAAAAAGTAATAATAAGCAACACCTTGGATCTGATTGAAATGCTGTTCTAGATCATTTATTTTCTTTTTTCACCCTTTATTGCTGTTTTTATTTGGTTGGTTTTTGAACAACTTCTTAATTATTTCATACTAGCTAGCCTACATTCAAAATTGGCAAAAACCAGAAGTACTGGAAAGGGCAATTATGTCTCTTGTAAAATAAAGGTAGATAGGGCTGATAGTTTTATATCATCTGTAAATTTAGTGAGTAGGCTCTCTGTGGATTCAGTTATTTATTCTGGGTATATTGTCACGCTCCTGTGTCCCAGGCACATTTTTAGGCACTATGTGGGATGGATCAGATCCCTGTCATTGTATACTTTGATTAAAATATTTATAAAGACTGAAAATACACATTACTTGGGCACATGACCAGGACAGTTTTCATGCATTGGTCAACCCTCACAGCTGTAAATCCACCAGACTTCATTCCACTCTGTTTCTCTATTCGTATCCTAAATTGTAAGAGATTATCTTAAGATTTGTGGCCAAATTAAAAATACATCTAATATTTGCCTTTTTTTAATTTTTATATTGCCCAGTAACCCTTCTATAAAGGAAGATCAGTTATTTAGCTATTTTGATATTTTCTTAAGGAACCTATACTATACCCAGTAATCATTTAAGTGTTTAAGAGCCATTACCAAAAATACATATTTGAATTTCCTTCAGAAATCGTCAAAAAAAACTCACTATAGTTTCCAAGATCAACCGTTCTCTCCACCTTTTCTTTCATTTTAACTTCAGACGTGTGTGTGTGTGTGTGTGTGTGTGTGTGTGTGTGTGTGTGTGTGTGTGTATGCTGGTTTTCTAGCCACTCATCTTACTATTCAGGGAAATCAGTTGAGATATTGTATGCCTGCCTCAACTTTGTGTGCCCTGCTATCCAACTCTGTTGGAATCATCTCATTTCTTACCAGCCTACAACTTGATTTGGCTCCTCCTTAACCATGTTTTCCTTTCTTTTTTCAATTTACAAATGCCTCATTGTTTCATCCATTCAGTCCATATTTATTGAATACCTACTGTGTGCAAGTTAACTGTGCCTAGCTCTGAGTCATTCTCCTTGGTCAAACAGACAAATAACACTATAGTTCTCTTGGGACCGAATTGACCATTTCATGTAAAGTTCCCTGACTTGTGGGAATGGTTGTGGAGGGTTGAGTAGGAGAGTTGTAACCCTCTTACCCAGAGGCATCTAGACAGATTCATAGGAAAGTTGCAAGCTCAGGAAAGTTCAACATTCCTCTTTTATTATTGGACCATAGAGTCAATGCAAAGGTAACTGAGTACCAAAGAGGCTTGTGATCTTGGCAAGACTTCCCTAATCTCAAGTAACACATCTCTTGTCTGCTTTGTCAGTATTGTTGTGAAAATTAATAGCCAAATTATGTGATGTGTGAATTGGAAAGTACTGCACAGTTGTAATTGCTTACTAGTTTCATTCATTTCCTGAATGTCAGGCACTATGCCAGACACTGGAAATATAGAAGTAAGTATGTGTTGTCTGCCCCAGTGTTCCCATTGAGGCTCCTAAGCTTATAAGCAGGGAACCCAGACACAGAGTGATAAATGCACAGGTTAACTATACAAAGTTTGTAGGCATCACTGGGTGTAGGTGCTGCTGAGCTCTACCTGATGACAGACTAATCTAGGAAATGTTTTAATCCATGGCTTTCTGTTAGGTCTTAAGGATAAGTTAGAGATTGCCAGGTAAGCAAAGAGGGAGATGGCTTCCAGGCAGAGAGAATATTTGATAACATGTGAGGGCTGAGGGCAGTGACATCATCATCCATGATTTTGTGAATAAGAATGCCTGAGAGAGAAGGTTACATCTGAGAAGGCCCTTAGAAGGCAGCTCCAAGAGCTAAGGCCATACTGTGAAGGCCAATAAAGGATGTTAAGCAAGGAATGTTAAATTCACATTTGCATTTTCGATAGGTCATTGTGACAAGGGAAGAGAACAGCAGTAGCTCCTGACATTTTGGGCGTGATGGACTCCTTTGAGACTTGATAAGAAGCTGTCTTCCTCTCCCCAAAATGAGCTTGAAATTTCTGGAAATTCCTAATGGTGATCTTTAGGGATGGAAAAGTAGATGTTAGGGAAATATTAGGAGGAAATCAAGAATTGAGTGCAATGTAGAAATTGATTGAAGAGAGGTACCCATGATGCCACCTCAGTTTCTGCTTTGGGCAAAGAGCTGGATATAGGAGGCTGGAATGTAAGGCAGTCAGTCTGGCAGAAGATTGAAAATGTAGGAGGCATCAGCATTTGCTTGGGAAGTTAAACAGATATGACTGATTTTACCCAAGGATAAGATGTAAAATGAGAGTGAGGGGCAAATTCTTTGAGTTCCCTGCTTAGTATGCTAGCATATAAGGTATGAGAGAGAGAGAAGACCCAATCAAGGAAGCCGAAGGTGTTAGAAATGCTGTGCCTGGGCTCTGCCCACTCAGAAGAAGAAACACAACCTGGGGAGGAAAGCAGCTTTGCATGCACAGCTTGGTGAGACTTGGTTACCAGTTGCCCCCAAGCCTGAACCACCTTCTGTTTTACATTTGAACATTGTTCCTTTGCAGGAAGCTTGCCTCATTGGTACATGTCAGTGTCTCACACTCTTGCAAGATTTGTGTTCTGGGTAGAGAGCCAGCCTTCTGGTACAGGTGACCCAGGAGTGTTGGCTTTGGAAATCTTGTTGGCCTGATTGTGCTTTCATTTTGCTCCCACCCTCAGAGTAACATCTTCAGAGGCACAAGAGTGTCCTGGAAAAAGGGTGGACCTCAATGCCAGGTGCTTCAACTGTCATTCTTCCAAGATCAGACACTTACTAGCTGTGTGATCTTGAGCATGTAACTTACGGTCTTTCAGCTTCCTCATCTGTACCCTAGGGATAGTGATACCTATTGTATTGGGTTGTTAGGGTGACTAGAGATAGACCTATATGTATAAAATAACTATGACACTTACTAAAGAATATTCTTGTGGATGTGCATTTTGGCCCAGTATGAGACAGGAGCCACTTTAAGAGATACTGAGCAGCCTACCAGTCATTCTATCATGGGGCTTTTCACCCTAGGGCATCGAATTACCTGACCTCCAAGCTCTCTTGTCAACTCTGTGATCTCTAAGGTTGTAAAAGTTCAAGGCTCACTGTCAGAGCAAGTAATATAAGAAGTGGGATTTGGGCTTTGCTTTGGGGTTGAGAATGAATGGGGAACAGTCATTCTAAATGGTGTGTGCAGCCAGAGGCACAGAAAAGGGAAAACAGTGGAGGGAATTGTGGGGATTCAAGCTATACCTCTCCTGCCTCATTCTTGATCTTGACCATAACCCACCCATGCCCACTCCAGGAAAGTTCTACTTGTAGCTGGCTGGTGAGCAGTGGTCCACATCGTTGGGTGGAGGGGGCAGTAAATCAGTGGTAACAGTAAACAAGTCGCCTAGCCAGGATGCCGCTGGCTGCTTGTAAGTAACTGTTATAAACATTGAGTGTCTGGGGCTGTCAGAGATACAAGCGAGTACTCTCTGAGTGCCGCTCATATGTACAATTAAAACAATAAAACACGACAGGAACGTGGCCAGAACAGGCTGTAAATCAGCTTCTCTTCTCAGCTTCAAGTGGTGACTGAATAAAGATGAGTGCATGAGCTGGTTGGCACAGGGCCCTCTGTGGGTGGAGAACCTGGCTTGGGAGACTAGACCCACCAGGGGCTGCAGGTCCTGCCTGCCCTGCCCCAGCTGACCACCCCATCTCTGTGTCTTCAGATGGGGGACAGGATGGTGCAAGCTGGCGTGTCACAAACCAGTGGACAAGTGCCCTGGAGTTCAGGAGGTGGCTAGGAGTTCCTACTGGCGGTAATGGAATTGATCTATATACTTTATTTCTTTTCCCTACCCAGCACATGCTCTAGAGTAGTCTTATCCTACCATCTTATCCTCTAAGCTAACCATCCAGTGTTTAAGTTAACCACTGCATACCCACTCAGTCCCTGCAGAGAAAACTTATCCCTGTGGAGAGCACGAACTTAGATGGAACTGTAGAGGTTCTCTCTCTTAGACAGCCTGTCAAAACAAAGTCCTAGGTCCCACTCCTGGAGATTTTTACCCCATAGATAGATCTGACATGCAACCCAGGATTTTGCTTTTCCAACAAGACTCCACTCTAAATAACTTGGTGATCTGGTGGTTGGCCTGCTTAAAATCTCATCTAGACTTTTACCTTCCAAGAAGAGACCATTTTGTTTTGCCAATTTAAGCTTCCCTCATAGATTGCCATGGTATGATGGGTGTGCAAGAAAACTTCATTGCTGTGACAATGGAAACAATCTTCAACACCTTCATAGGCTTTGACCACCTAAGTATAAAATACATGTTAGTGGAGAGTCAGAAAAAGTCTTCCTGCACCTAAAATCTGGGATACAGAAGGAGCCCCACTGATGCAAATCTGTGCTTGTACGTCATTATCATTGTCTAAATCATCGTCTGATGCAACTAATGTCAGAGAGACTTTGGCACAGCCTTCCAGATGCTCTTCTGTAGCAGCGAACTGCTAACTTCCAAGAGCCAAATATTACTGGGAATCAAAGGAATAACTGGGCCATCACCTAACTACATAACCTTGGGCAATTCTTTTTCCCTCTGAGCTTATTTTCTTATTAATAAGAATCAAAATGAGAAAATACAAGGCATCATTTTTGTGTAGATTCTAGCAAGAGCAGTTCTTTATAGCCATAAAGATTGAAGGCATAACCAAGACAGTATTTGACAAGGGTCCAGTCAGAGGCATAGACACCAAGGACTGTTAGAGCCCAGAGAAAAGAATATTTGGCTGAAACAGTCAAGAAAATAAAATGATACTTGAGCTTTTAAAGTCTAGGGAGGTTTTACGTAGCTGTCTGGAGGGCTGGTAGCTGGGTGAGGTTGGGTATCAGTAGAGAAAGGGTATGTGGTATCCATAACAGAAACTAGAAATAGGAATTAAGTTTTAGGCAGGTAAGGAAGCTTGTGCTAATTAAGGTGCAGCAACCACATAACAAAAAAATTGTTTATAAAGGGCTCTTTAGTACTAAAGATGCAGTGTTAGGAGACTGTAGCTACCCAAGACACTTGCTGTTAACCGAAAGTACCTTGGAGATCCTAGAGGAGAGACAAATGCAGGACTGACTCCTAGAGTAAGAAGCAGTGGAAGGCAGTAATGAATCATTAGGGGCCACAGCAGCAGGTCCCATTTACAGATACTTGCTGTGTTTCCTTAGCACCTTTCTATACAGTCACTAGGGGAAATCAAAGGCAGATAATGATAGCAAGTGCCAGCAGAACTGTCTCCTGCTCTTACATTGAACCCAACAACATATCAGCCAGTGTGTTAATCCCACACTTAGTTCAGAACCTCTGGCTGACCCAAAGCCTTGGGCTTATTATAAGCTGGGTTATTATTTTTATAATGTCCTAGCCTCGGCCTCATCCCTGTCTAGGCCCACTCAGAACCTTGTCTCAGCTCCAGGGCCAGTGGTTCTACGTGTCATTTTTCAGTAGTGCCAGCCACCATGGAGTCACCAGGTTGGACAGTGCACTGTCAGTCCATCAGGCACTGTGGCCAACTTCAAGATTAAGTGTATCAGCCAGTTAGGCTAATTGTTTCCATCCTTTTAGCCTTCTAAACACACACACGCATACACACATGCATGCATGCACTAGGAGATGGAGATAGACTAGTTGACATGTTTTATTAAAAAGAATAAATTTGGTGCGTTTATAAAAATAAGAAAATGTGTGCTAGAGTAGCAAAAAAAACTAGTCTGCGATTTTAACTGATTTACATATTTTGTGTATAAATATTTTTTCATCAGAAGTTCCAAATCAGGGCTGGGTCCCACACACCACACAAAATATATTAGAGACATTTATATGGATAGCAGGAAGGGAGACAGAGGGCTGAAATTTTCCAGGCACCCAGTGATTGATGGGGGCTGAGGCTCCCCCTGACGCTTTATTGAGTTTCCGATGATTATCTCTCGCTGAGACATTTTTTACAGATGACGGTCGAGCTGTCACAATGGACCATGGGGGGAAAAAAAACCAACAATAATAACACTTTAATCTTTTTACTGCACTGCTCCCTAGTATCTCAGATTCATCTTCCCTGACGCACGCAGTTCATTATTCTGCCCCTCCCTGGATGGGAAATAAAGGAAAATAAATATATATGTAGACACACTTACCCACATACATACACACACACACAGAGTATATAAAAGAGACCACCTCAGAACCAGAGAGGAGTAGAATTTATTGTTCTTTTTGTAAGTGTTGAGGTTTATTAGTAGAGATGCTGGGTTGGCTTGGAATTGGCTATTAATTACAGCATTTTGTATTTGTTTTTTACTGCGAGTTTTTAACATCTCAAAGAAAAGGCAGAGAAGAGGCAAGCAGGTATAGCAGTGGGAGCATGAAGGGACTAGGATTGGCTAAGCCAGTAGCATCGTTGGCTAAGGGCAGAGGGCAGAGCTCATGTCAGTTCACCCCAGAAGCTCTCCAGAGCTGAGTACTGCTTTGACTAGAAAGAAAGAATATGAGCTCCAAGTAGTTATAGGACAAATTAAAGGGATCCAGATACCCACATCTTAAGGAAGAAAAAAAAAGAGAATCTGGATGGTTCTGCAGAGTGATAGATTCTTAGTAGTCTGCACTGCCTTTTGAATTTGAGGATGTGAAGGTGAGATACTGGCGCTCCTGGTCAAGGGAGCGGGGCCCTGTTCCTGGTCAGACAGGATGCTACACTCTCTATGGCCATGTGTAAGATCAACACCTGTCTTCAAGTTCCTTTCCAGCCTCCCAGGCGTCCCCATTTCCTTTCATGAGTGGGAAAAATGAGCTTGGGGTCCCTGTGGAAGGTTGTCCTTGACATGTCTCCAGTGGACTAAGTGCTGTCCCTGTCTTTTCTTTAATTCATCAAACCTTTGCTCCCCTCCTGCTGTGTGCCAGTTCTCACAGCACACAAAGGTGTGGGATAAAGGTGACCAAGGTCCTATTCCTAAGGAGAAAATTTCTAGTCTGTGGGCAGAGAGCATGGTGACTATGAAAACCTGTTTCAAGTGGGGCTAGACCTCCAGCCACAGACTAGAGGACTGTGAGTGTTTCTTCTGCATGAAACAGCAAAGGATCTATATCTCCTTCAAGAACCCATTTTCTGCTTGGGAAGACAAACATAGCATTTACTCACTTTAGTGTTTATCAGGTACTTACCGTGTTCAAGAGTCTACAAATGAAACAAGTTGACAACACTCAGGACTGTGTAAAGGAAAATGCAAACTAATTTGATGTAACTTAAGACATTGCTAGAACACATAAGGGGAAGGGAGATCCAGGAAAATCAGGCTGCTGAGTTGTCCAATGTGGGTTAAGATGTGAGTTAAAGAAGGAAAGTATATAAAAAAGGAATGTAATCGTGTAGGAAAAATGAGTAATAAGCCTTTGAGTTGAAAAGACAGCTCTGCCATTATCTCTCAGTGTGACATTAGGCCAGTTATATAACTTCTCTAAGTCTCAATTTCTTTGTTTATTAAATAGGAATAATATGACATGCTATGCTTTAACAGAAAGTACTTACAAAGCTACTGGCACATGAGCATTCAATAAATGAAGGCCATTATTTTGTTACTACTGTAAGACATGCTTAGTTTTTGGGTACTTGAGGAAGATTGGATCTTGGGATATTAGCCTTCAGGGCTCAACTGTGACCTTCCACTGAGTATGTAATGGAGGTATGCACACAGCAGACGTGGTCTGCAGTGTTGGGGTAATTCTGTTCAAAGTCAGCCTGGAACCAAGAAAAGGAAAGGACATGGTAATTAATCCTTTGCCAATTGGCCATGTACTCAGATCCTTACACATAACAGTTTTGAGATATAATCTACATATTATACAACCACCTGTAATGTATGTAATAAAGTTCACTGATTTATAGTATATTTATGAGTGTGCAATAATCAGCCCAATAAATTTTAAAGCCTCTATTTTTTTTTTACTATTTTCATTTTATTTGAATAGCTGAAAGACAAAAGAACTTTCAGCTCATGTTTTATTCCCTTTATGCCTACAATAGCCAGAGTTTGACTAGACTGAAGGCAGAAGTCCAGAACTCAGTCCAAGCGTCCCATGTGGCTAATAGGAATCCAATTACTTGAGCCATCACTTGCTGCCTCCCATGGTACACATTAACAAGAAGCTAAAATCTGAAGCAGAGCCAGAACTTGAACCCTTGTCTGCATCCCAAGAAGTATCTTATCTACTATGCCAAATGTCTGTGCAATATTTAGAACCTTTTAATCACCTTATTAAGGAAGGCCCGTATCTATTATCAGTTATCCTCCATTTCCTGTCAGCTGTCTCCAACATCTGACAATCATTATAGATCTGCCTAATATGGATGCTTTATTTCCATGGGATCCATGGTATGTAGTCTGTTGTGACTGGCCTCTTTTTACTTAGTGTGGTGCTTTATACATGTAGTGTTTGTCAGTATTTTGTAGTTCTTATGGTTGGATCATTGAATAATAACTGTTGTTAACACCATGTTTTGTTTATCCATCAGTTGAAAGTTTCAACTTTAGGCTGTTGTGCATAATGCTGCTATTATTTGTATACAAGCTATTCTATATACATAATGTTTTCAGTTTTCTCGAAGGTAATACAAGTAGAACTTTGGACTCACATAGTAACTTGATGTTTTTCATCTTTTATTGATCTGCCACACTGGTTTCTGAAGTGGCTGTGCCATATAACATCCCCAGCAGCCACGTGTCAGAGAGTTCCAAGTTTTCCGTATCCTCACCCACTCCCATTGCTGTCTTCTA